AAAAAAAAATATTTTGTCCGAAAGACGTTTTTAAAATTACTCAATACAGTACTGTACAGTACTTCAATTTTTCGACTGAGCCTGCAATGAGATTACCTTGGTGTCAGTCTTATCACTGGCACGATCATACAAAACTTTTTTGAAGAATTCATTTCTGCACAACGTCATGACTCCCCTGGTCATTTACCAATTCATATTTACTAGTTATTACTGCATTATTTTTTTAGTTGTATAAAATGTCTTCGATCACTCTTGTGAATATTTCTGCTATATTTTAAAAGTTTTTATTTTCTGATGAAAATGTGCCGAGGTAATACTGATGAGAAAAATCACATCGATTGCATTGATATTACGAATTTAGAGGGATAAGGGATTACGATTGCTGTCGAAGAAAAAAACTGACCCGCTGGCAGGACGAAATTTTTTCCATTGCATAATGTTCACGTCGAGAGGAGAAACGATTAGAAAGAATGAAAGAATAACTTCTGGTTTAAATTATTAGATGGTTATATAACCCCTGACTTATTAACTAGGTGTTCGCAAAAATTTCGCAAGTACGCTAATTCCAAGTATGGGCATAGAAGGGGGGAATTGAGAGCCAAATTGGTTTTTCTTGCTTTCAGTCAATGTTCATTCCAGTACCAGTATTCACAGTTCATGTGATGGACATTTTCATTTGACGGCGAATTTTGAAATGACTGGGGATTATGAGAATTTCAATGGCTATATAATCGTCTCGATTCATGATAACTCCCCGTATTATCAAGGAAATGTATGCTTTATGCGTTTACCCATGGTCGCTTTTTTTTTTTTATTATATCTTTCCTCTGAATTTGTCTCGCGTCGGATACTGTATTTGTTACAACGGTGTTGTGAACGATTGAATAGGCTTCTGTGCATTGGGTGTAAAATATTGTATGTCGAATTGTTAACCGCGAAAATCAATGCCATTCTCGCAATATATCGTAGGTTTCCTCAAACTCCGGCTTTTAAATAAGTTGGAGTTCGTGTCTTCTGATGACCAATGGATGTGTTATTTTGTTTTTGTAGGCGTACTATTGAGTACCGAACTGTGAATTATGATGTTTCCGTTGTACGAAAATGACTCAGAATCCGTGTTTGGAGTCTCTAGTCGCAATGACGAATTTTCTATAAAGCTAAGATTTATTTCCTGCTGAAATCATGTACTGTGTTGAGGTTTTGTGTCTAGCTTTGAAGCGAACCCGAAAACGCTTTGAAGCGTGCGAAATTTCCTGTAGTCTTTCTCAGTTGGATGAAACCGTTCGAAATCACGTTGATTATGCGGTTGCGTGGAGAATTTTGTTGTTTATTGTTTTTTTTTCAGCAGAGAATATAACTGCGGCATTGTGTTTTCCGAACGTTGACTTCATATTTATTAGCCTCATATTTAGCCCTGAAACATTTTAAAAACAAATCTCATGATGTTCGAAGACTCAATCTCGTTCACAGCGCAGAACCCTAACGTGCAGGTGGATTCATTACAAAAATATTATCAGGAATTAAAAAGACGTTGTTTGCATTGAAGCAATATATGGTACTCATGTGCAGTCTAAGAAAGTATAAGGAAATTTCTCCCCTTTGCATCCGAATTCCAAATCTTATCCAAAGTGCCTAATGTCCTGAAGTTTTCCAAATACTGCATTGTCCTTTTTAACCTTCAATTTCTCAGAAGAAATCGTTGACAATTAAAAAACATGTCATTAATGTGCAGTAGCAATGCTTTCACCCCCAAAAATCAAAAACATACCAATCTGATGCCCATTTTGGAAAGAATGCAGGAAAACATATTTTATTAAACTTCAGGTTATAAAATTGTCCTCCTTGCCCACCAGGTGTATATATCTGTACATTATAGATTTGCAGGTGGACTCTCTAAAATGATCTTGTCTACAACAATTTTCTCTCAATACAAAATGTATGCTTGGCACTTCAGTGTCCTTCTGCCTTGTTTAAGAGGTTCTCCACAAAGAACTTCTCTCAAAAATGATTTTTTTCTGGTCCCCTAAATTTTTTTTGTGGAGAGAATCCACCTACCTCTATACAGTATATGAGAACTATTGTGTACAACAGTGTTTGCCAACCTGTGAACCAGTGCTGGTCTGCAGAATTTTTTGCCAGTCCACAGGAAATGTTCAGCATAATAATTTAATGAATTCATGGAAAGTAGGGGTGAAGTCTGTTCTCTTTACCTAAAATTTTGGACAGACAAAGGCAGTTGAAATTATCTGCTGAAAGTAAAAGTTGGCATTTCTCCCAATAACACTTCAGGCAAATTTTCACAACTGCAATACAGAAAATTATATTAATTTTTCATTCTGAGAAACCTTTCTTCAAGTCCACCTTTTAATTTTTGAGGCATTCAGATATAGCTGCTCTACAGAATTTTTGAAAAAAAAGCAGAAAATTTTTAATACCTGTCATAAAGTGCTCCAAGCAACATTTCTTTAAGTCTGCTAAAAATTTCAAATGTTGCCAGTCTGCAAAAAATTTTATTGAAAGCTACTGTGGGCCCAAAAAGGTTGGGGAACATCACTGGTGTAGTATGTTCATTGTATTTTATTTGAGGAACTGCAGGCATAAAATGTATAGGATCACAAACACATTCATGCATGCAGCAAAAGGAAGCATCCTGAATATATTGTATGTAACTCGCAATCTCTCTGTACATTTTTCTCAATGTCGTAAAACTGATGACTCGCGATTTCTAAAACCGACCTGGAGATAATATGCTGTTGAATGCCTTCCGTTGACAATGTCAGGAATCTCGCGAACAGGCGTCATTTCCAAAGCCCTGTGTTCCGACCGGTCTCATTGTTCCACCATATCATGAAAGCAATATGAAACATTCACGTGAACACGGTTAATATCAGAAGTGCTGTTTACATTTTCGAGAGTCTGGTTTTTCCTAAATAAATTATAAAATAAAAATGCATCAAAGGGCCAGGCGCATGTTTGTTACAGTGGTGGTCACTTCAGCCGCAGTGTCATTTGCAATCAATGGGTTATTGTGGTCATTCGCTAGCAGCACCTCGAATAAAGAACAAATTTGGAATAAGGATGAGCTGATGCTGGAGGAAGAGAAGAACCTTTTTGACAATGAGGAAGAACAGCATAAAGAAAAAGAAGAAAATTCCTCCTCTTTGGACTGGCTTTTCTCGATGGTAAATTCGAGAATGAACTTGCCCGGAATTGCGGATAAAACCCGGACCTTTGTACTGCATCCATTATTTGCTGAAGCCACAGATTTTGCGCAAGTAAGGTGAGTGTACAGTACTGTATATACTATCGAAAATAAATTTGAAAGCTTTTTATTGAATATTTTTCAAAGGCAGAAACCAATTTGCATTGACATCTTCCTTGCACAACAAAATCAATCTATTCTTGGGGCGATGTGTTTTGTGAATCATGATTCCCCTCATAATAAGTTACTATTCAAAATGTTTAATCCATTCAAGGAACTCGCAAAAAGACCGTAATAAACCCGAAAATTGATATACAGTAGATATGCAAGTTTTCAACAACAAGTTTTAAATTTAAAAGCAAGCAAGTGATGACATTTTAGTAATCCTTACATGATTATTTATGGTGCTTAACTTTTTGAAATTCTCAAGCAATTAGAGCACAGGTAACAGTATTCAATCTTTCTAGCATGAGGGATGTTCAGGCTATATATAAACCCACATGCATACATACATAGTTTACATACACAGCCCAAATTTGAAGAAATCTGAAATTTGTGTTCTTGCTGCACTCTAAAAAATGTGTGCTTCAGAGAAATATAAAGTGTGAAGATTATAGTTTTCTATTTGCCCAAGAGAATGATTAGTTTATTTACTCAAAGTGTCAGCATGCGTATTTTTGTCGAAATTTAGAGGAAATAGGAACGGACAATTTTATCCAAAATTTTGAATGAAAATAAGCCCATGTGCATGTTTTAGTTGAGGGGATGTTCTGGTACTTGAGTAAGTAAGGTACATAAACATCGGCATACGAGGATGACTCACGAGTCTAATATAATTTCATGTTTAATTAGGTTAGTATCACATTACATATATTTACAATAAGATTGTTTTCAGCAAGCGGAAAGTGTGTCTGGCAACACAGACGTCAGTGGACCGGTTGTTTTGGCTAGCAAACACAACAGAAGCCTGGACTGGCCACGTATCCGTGGCTGTGTTCGGCCCAGACAAGGAATTACATTTGGCCCAGTTGGCCATCCGCATCCTGCGACACTGCTTCCCGGAGACAGTCGCCAAGTCAGTCAGCTTCAGCCTGGTCTCAGACCTGAGACACCCTGCAGAAAACATAGACCCCGACGCACTGATCGCCCTGGCCGAGGACTCGGAATTCACGCTCAACCTGTGCACTGACATCCGCCATACTCTGCGCACACTCACCAGACGGTTAGTCGGCGACCAGTTGGATTCACCCTGGCGCACAGAACTCAAGTACCCGCAGAACACTCTGCGCAACTGGGCAAAGGCTCTGTGCAACGCCGAATGGACCTTGGTCGTTGACGTGGACATGGTGCCTAGTCGCGGCATGTCCGAGCAAGTGGACGAGTTCTTCGCGGACCCGAGCAATCCTTAT